ATAGCTGGGGAGAGGTGGATTCATTCCTTTCCCACGAGTATTGCGCGTAAGGAAATATAACGAACCCATAGGGAAAATGGAACTCGGCTCACGGATTACATTACCTGCACACCCAAACTGACAGCACCTGGTATTCCCAAGCGTTTACCCATCTAAGTACTGATCAGTCTCGACGTTGCTTAACTTCGTGGAGCGGTGTTTCGACGTAATGTGGCCATAAGCCGTCATACAGTAAATGCAATAAATCAAGACACTTAACATGAAACACGTTTAGTTTCGCTAGATGTTTAGAATGACATGGACCAAACATGTGCGCAACGTCGAATTTTTATAGAATATGGAAATAAGAAGGACATATTTAACACCAGGAAGAAATAGTTGAGGTTTCTGGGGCACAAAATGAGGAAAGAGGGTTTGGAAATGCTAATCCTCACTGGAGAGAATGAAGGCAAGTGGGTGCCGTGGAAAACAATACATAACGCACTTGAACTTGATTAAATGGATAGAATGGAAAGAAAAGACAAAATTTATTAAGAGCTCCAAAGGACAGGAAATTGTGGAGAGCCATAATCTCGTGCTGAAGAGATGCGGCACATAGAAGAAGAATGTAAATGTTTCTTAATGTAAAATCAGATTCGTTTTCTAATGGAGACAGGTCATTACAAATGTTTCGTCTGTCATTGAATCTCCTCAAATTTCATTTATCCCACCTACACATGCATATATACAGTGCTGTTCGATAAAAGTGACTTACCTTATCCTTTGAATTTAGCTCAACTTTCATTTCATCGGAGAAGAGAACATTCTTCCAGTCTTCTACGGTGAAATTTTTGTAATAGTGAGCCCATTCAAGTCTCTTGGCTTTGTTGGATTTGCTTATTAGCGGCTTAAACCTTCATGTACAAGATTTGTAGCCTTGTTCTAACAAGATTTGTAACCTTGTTCTGACGGACTGTTGAAGAGGCAAGACTAACACCTTGCTCTTCGTTTATACTGGCTGCAATTTCTTGCCTAGTTATAGTCCTATTCTTCGCAACTTCTCTCTTGATTACCCTGCCAGTTCTGCCAGTTAATACTCTAGATTTAATTTAAGCTGTTCTAGAATTCTCTAGAATATTGTTCTGCCTGTATTGTAAAATAGTTTTTAATATTTTGTCAAAAGTCCTTTAAATTTACCAGTTTAATCCTTAGAATGCGATATCTGAGTCACTTTTTTGCACAGAGTTTTTTCCTGAATCTCATTTATATCCAAATTTATAATTATCAATAGAATACCTTAGGGTGAATAAACTTTTTTCCTAGGTGGTCGGGAAGGGGTCTTTATATTAGTAAGATTAAAAATTAGTTTGACCCCAAAAACAATAGACAAAAAATATTTTTATTAAAAAAAAAATCAGGTGAGTCACTTTTATCGAACAGCAATGTATATTAAATAAATTTAGCAATACAACTCATAAACATATAATCGAACAGCACTGTATGTATGTATATTGCCGTTGTTGTTGATGTGTGTGTATGTTTGTGTGTATGTGTGTTTGGCTTCAAAACGAACGACACAAAGACAGGGGAATTTCTATTGAGCGAATTGTCTTTAATTCTTTTCGTGGAGTGAGACGCCGTGGTTTAAATGTCGGCGTCCGATAACCGTCTATTCAATACTTCGCTTCTAGCACACGTAACAAACATGTCTGATATTAGAGAGTTGTACTTAAGTAATATATTATGATTAAAGGGATAGAAACATGTATCACTTAAGTAGCACGAAATACGTGCACAAAAATACACACGCTTGCACACATAAATACATACACACATAAACGTATACAGGCCACACCACCGCATACACATACACACACTCATTCACATATATATATATATATATATATATATATATATATATATATATATATATATATATATATATATATATATATATATATATATATATATATATATATATATATATATAAAATGAGAAAGTCCGACAATTATTTTTATGTTTATACATTCTTTTATAGATACAAATCGGTTAAAGGCACGTTAAGCTAAATGAGAGTTCCGTATAGGATACGAGTTCGAATCCTGTTGGTGGACGAATATTTTCTGTGAAAAAACCAGACATTCAGGCCGGTAAATGTTGTTTAATACTGTTTATTATAAACAGATCATTTACTTAAGTATTTGTATCTATAAAAGAATGTATAAGGGATTCGCGCGCGATGTCTTAATATATATATATATATATATATATATCACTTCAAGCGTTCATTTAGTTCATTTCTCATTTGAGTTGAATATATATATATATATATATATATATATATATATATATATATATATATATATATATATTATAAATATATATATATATTTATTTGATTTAAAATATGTTTTTCCGCTACACAGTTCTAACCATGTTTCAAAAATGGAAGTAAAAGCCACGAATTTAATTCTGCAATTAAATTAAAGACATTAGTTCCATTTCATCCTCAAGCGAATTTTAATGCTCTGTAAATTTACATCGAGCACTATTTTGTAAAAATAAAAATACCTATAAGAACACTGGATTATATATCTTACTGTTCTTTCTTTTTATTTATATATATATATATATATATATATATATATATATATATATATATATATATATATAGACACACATGCACGTGTATGTTTGTGCGTGTGTATTTATACATAAATATATGTGTGTGTGTGTGTGCCTGTTCTAAATTTTCGTTTGTGTAAATTAAAATATATCTGTCTAAATATATATATATATATGTAATTATATTTATACATACATAAATACACACACACACACACACACACACATATATATGTGTGTGTGTGTATAAATATAATTCTTAAATGTAATTATATTTGTTAATCTGTGTGTGTCAGTGTGTATACATGTATACTAGCGAACAAATTGTCTCACGCTCGTACACACAATGTTCGCGTAAACGAAGCATTATCCCATGTGACATGATTCCCTTTTTTTGCCGGACCAAGTTTCTCACGACTTGGCGTCTCTGTCGACACCGGCTGACGTCTCCTCCCCGGTGCGGTCACTAGACAGCATCATGACGATTCGTTACAAACCAAAATCGGCCGCCGCGTCAGCGCTGTCGTAGTCAAAGCACGATTTAAAATACAGAACAGTGTCACCACCATCACCACCACCCGCAGCTACACAACCATCACTATCACCCCCACCATCCATTGACCTACCATAATGAAAACCTCGGCAACAATAACCATAATAATAAGGACTTAGATTGCTTGCCATGTAATAAGAAGAAAATTCGATATTTTACTGGGTGCCCCATACTTATAGTTTTGTGCCAAACTAATCTATGTTAGAAATAATAATAATACATGCCTATAATAATAATAATAATAATGGATACCAATAATAATAATACATGCCTTTAATAATAATAATAATAATAATAATAATAAATACCAATAATAATAATACATGCCTTTAATAATAATAATAATAATAATAATAAATACCAATAATAATAATAAATGCCCATAATAATAATGGTTATAAAAATATATACTCATAATAATTATAATAATAAAAAAAAACTATAATAATAAAACAATAATAATAATAGTAGTAATAATGATAATAAAATGCCCATAATAATAATATATGCCGAGATGTTACGCCAGGTTTGGCTCTCAGGGTTTCTGATCTTAATTTACTGGAAGTGTTAACGTGATTGGTATTTTGTGTTAACATGTTTTGTGTTGGTGAATTAAGACAGTTCACTATTACATATTTGCTTGTCAGTTGCCTGATCTTTAGCAGTTGGATCTGTTTTCCTACCACCTCACAACCTGTATCTCTCTGTTCATGAGCGGGGGTAGTGAGGGGGATCAATCATAATTGGACGTTGACACCGTTTTCTTTTTTATCAGTTTGAAGGTGAGTCAGTTAAATCTAGATACTTGGGAACATCCTCAATCAGAGACTATTTGGCTGTTATGTGTGTACATTGTAAATACAAGCATCTTGAAGTGAAACTCTAAAAAATAATATGGCATATGAGTATATCAATAACTCCAATGGTAGTTGGAGATCTCGATTTTATTGGAAACGGTTCCGATAGACAAATTGAAGGGATTCTTGGTGGCCCATGCCTTAAAGAAATACAAAAAAAAAAAGTTATTTACATTGTTTACATTGTTCGGACTGTTGTCCTCATCATACAATCACCTGAAGAAGAAAAAAATCGACTATAGAGCGAAAAGGAATGAAGATTTTGAGTTCTGCAAACCGGTCTATAGGAAAGATATTGTTATGGGGTCCTCCCCTTTTTCATATAAGTGGACTCGACCAGAGTGTTACTGGGACTGCTGCCGTTAAATACCCTGAGTCAGTCAGAATATACGGAGACAGATAGAGATTGTGATTGAGTTGGAGGTAGAGTAATAGTGTGAGGTAACCGCTTGTAGAAGTCATAGAAGCACGTAGACTCTAAGGAAGTCCTACTTCGAGACTGAATATATATATATTATTACGACTAACCGCGTTCCTGGATTTACTAACAGTATTACCCATTGTATTATTGTATAAATACATTTAATTTCTTATATTTAATTCTTGCGTTTGTCATTCATTGGAGACCGAATTTCATCTCGGAATCCACAACAGATATAAACGGGCAAAGATTAGGGACAATCGAGATAAATAATTTACGTTCGACTATATAAAGAAATGATATCAGTACAAAGTTTCAACTCTTTTAAGAAGCCAAGTATTGAACGTGATATGTTTTAACCAAAGTTTTAATCAGTTCGTGTCTGTTGGCTGTTATGTGTGTGCAGTGTATACCCTTATTAGACTGGGTGTAATGATAATTATATGGGTTTTCCAATGGTATTTGCGCGTAATTGAATATAACGAGCCCCAATTAGAATTGGAACTCAGCTCTCAGATTAACTATTCTAAGCAATTATCCATTGCATCACCCGCACATCCAAGTTTACAGCACCTGCTATTCCCAAGCGGTCACTCATCTAGGTACTGACGTTGCTTAACTTCGGTGATCGTACGGGGACCTGTGTTTCAATGTAATGTGTTCGAAAGACTTCACAGCTAAGACTTGCCATACCCCTATATACAGAGGCAAGCCATGTTCATTCTGTGGGTATTCCCTTGGTAAGAAGAAAGTCCAAGATGGACAGCTTCTTTCACAAAACTGCTTCATTATGGAACTGGCATCTGAGAGAAAGATTCTCCGACCACTACAATCTTTACTTCTTCAGGACTAGTATCAACTATTATCCATCCTACATATCCTCATTATGTACAATTAGTACGTCCAAAAAGCAACACCGTTCAGTAACTATTTACCTTTTGTGTCTCTTGAGCCTTGTATTGTGTTAACAATAGTGTAAATCTTTTCAAAATAATCCTAGTAATTGTTTGCAAGACCAGCTTGCTAAATAATTCTCTAAGGCAACTCATGCATTGAAACATAATGAGAGATAGTCTTGATTAAAAAACGAACTAAAGACGATATTGTATTTTAGGTAACCTTGTTCATCATTATCCCAAAATGTAGCGCCTCTAATAATATCATCACCATAGATTCCATCTCTCCTACTATGGTAATGGTAATATTAACCATTTCCTTATAAGGAAACATTCGGCATTCATTGACTGAGCAGTCAGTGCTACCATCGGTTGACATTTTTGAAATCTTTGTGTAAAAACAAATTTTCAGAAAAATAGGTTTAAGTCCCGTAAATATTATCACTATTTCCAGTTTTGATAGCGGTTTCCTTGTTAACCTTTCTGTCGTCCTAGGTATGACAATAAACAACGGCTTTGATCAGGAAGTTTTGAGAAGTGTGGAACCACCTTTTAATTGCTGGTATTCCTAGGTTCACCCTGACTCGGAGTGGTAGCACCTGTTAGGGTCCAAGCTATGGGGAGATAGTTAACCCCCAAACCGGCGTCAGAACACTGTGAATGTAGGTGTTAATACCAGCAATACATTTTTGAAAAACAAATTATTACCAGCAATACATTATTTTGAAAAAAAAAATATTAGCAGCAATATATTTTTTGAAAAAAAAAATATTACTAGCAATATATTTTTTGAAAAAAATTACCAGCAATATATTTTTGAAAAAAAATATTACCAGCAATATATTTTTGGAATAAAAATAGTTACCATCAATACATTTTTTGAAAAAAAAAAGAAAAAAAAAAAAAAAAAGACAACAAACAAAATTACCTGCAATAAAAAAATCTTGCCCACATTAAATAACTCATTGAAGTTGATATGCCGTAAAGAAAAACCGAACCAAACCAAACTAATTTTTGTTTGAAGTAGTGTGGAATATCAACATATTTTTCGTGTTGCATATGATATACATTTTAGTTGTTGCTGCTGTTGAAAGTCCTCAAAGGATGTGGTTTCTGTTATTTGGTACAGTTCTTTGTGATTCTGTAGCACCAGACTAGGAACTTCAAAGTAGGATGTTCCTCGCTAAAACCTACAAACTTACAAAAGTTGCTGAGTTTCTTCTCTTTGAGACATGCACCATTTTACGAAGGAGAATTGAAGAAACCCTAGCAGAATTGTTATTGTTCTATTCAGTATTGATGGGGCTTCCCTTTAACTTCAGTCAGAAATACATTCATGATATTTTCCACAGATAAAAGAAAACCTTCATGATATTTTCCACAGATAAAAGAAAACCTTCATGATATTTTCCACAGATAAAAGAAAACCTTCATGATATTTTCCACAGATAAAAGAATACCTTCATGATATTTTCCACAGATAAAAGAAAACCTTCATGATTTTCCACAGATATTTTCCACAGATAAAAGAATACCTTCAATGATATTTTCCACTGATAAAAAGAATATTTGTTTTTTCCACAGATAAAAGAAAACCTTCATGATATTTTCCACAGATAAAAGAATACCTTCATGATATTTTCCACTGATAAAAGAAAACCTTCATGATATTTTCCACTGATAAAAGAAAATTAAGATAATAAAATTTGACATCGATAAAGGTCTTCGTAATGTGTGAGCACAATTTTTCTTGTATTTCTTGCTTACCAGGAATTTCTTTAATGAGACTATCGGAACCTTCTCCAACCAATCCGAGGGCTCCAACTACAACTGGAATCATATGATGTCCTTTATATGTCACATTTCTTAAATTTGCAGTTCTATATGCTTGTATTTTGATAGTTTTTTTGAAGATCTTCAAGATACATTACAATCTGCAAGGATTGCCATGTCAATAAGAAAGCACATTCTGCCCTTGTGGTCGTTGATGACGATGTTTGGCCGATTAACTTTAATTTTTCTGTCTTTGTGTATTGTAAAGTCCCATAAAATTGTTACAGGTTCCATCTCTGTAACGCGGCCTGGGTGATCCTTATTATTATTATTATTATTATTAATAATAATAATAATAATATTATTATTGTTATTATTATTATTATTGACATAATGATTCGTAATTCTTGTTAAGTCTTTTATAATTATAGTACTTCTATTACTACTACACAATAGAATGTTTAGCTTTACAAACAATAACAGCAACAAAAAAGAATGTAGTTGCAACTTGTCAAATGCTTTTTCCTTTGGAATGGTGTTATGGGTCGTATGAAGGGGTAGATTGGCCTCGGGCAGCATAGCGACCAGACGCATTGGCACAAAACTTAGAGACAAAAAGGAATGAGGCGGAATAACTATCGCGATACGTTAACCTCTTAGTGCGCCCAGTGGGCCATTTTGGACCTTGGGCGTGAGAAGAGAGGCTGAGAGACAGGCCTTCAGTCAGTCGATCAAATTTGCAAATTAAATTATTTGCACATTTACATCAGGCTGAACCCAATTGAGGCTGTGACGATATCGTCGTCAAAACTTGGCATTTAAGTATACGGCAATACTATTTCCTCTTATCTTCTTTTTCTTCTTCTTTACTCTTATTTACTTTCTTTCTTTCTTTCTTTCTTTCTTTCTTTCACGCATTTCTTCATTCATTCACTCTTTCTTTCTTTCACGCATTTATTCATTCTTTCTTTCTTTCTTTCTTTTCTCTTAATTTTGTTTAGTATTTTTTCTTAAAATTTACTTTCTTTTTTCTTTCATATGTACCCTTCATTTTATTAATTCTTTTTTTTTCTTTCTTTAGCGCACTTCATTTTCATAATTCTTTCTTTTTTCATCTATTTTATTTTTCATTGTTTGTTTGTTTCTTTCATTTTCCTAATTCTTTCTTTCTTCTTTTTTCTTTCTTTCTTTCTTTCTTTCTTTCTTTCTTTCTTTCTTTCTTTCTTTCTTTCTCCTAATCCTTTCTTTCTTTCTTTCTTTCTTTCTTTCTTTCTTTCTTTCTTTCTTTCTTTCTTTCTTTCTCCAAATTCACGATAAGACTGCATTTCTCTAAATAAATATAATAACGCTTTCCTCATGTTTTTATTTTTTAATATATTTTTCTTTCATTCTTTTTCTTTTAAATTTCCCCCTTCGACCATTTATTTTGCACCGTTCTTTCATTTTGTTTAAGTCATTTTCCCTAATTTCTTTCTTTCTTTCTTTCTTTCTTTCTTTCTTTCTTTCTTTCTTTCTTTCTTTCTTTCTCATAACCCTGACTAATTGTTGTTGACGCATGTGACTTTTTATATGCTCATTTTAGTTTATTTCTTTTTTTCCGCTACATGCTCCCCTATTTTCTCTCCTGTCAGAGTTTATCGTTGTTTGCTTGTTCTGATGAAGGTGGGAAAATCAGCCGGAAAATATCGGTATTCACGGCAAGTGCAACTCCTGTAGGGACAGCCAAAACGAAGCAGTAACAATGAAACTATTGGGAAATATTAGAGATGCTAAAACATATATTAATACACTCATACATACATATAAACATTTCAATTCATCTAATTAGGCAAAATTTAAGCATCACACACATATTCATATTTATAAACTAATAGACAGATACGTATGAGGATAAATTCAATATTTGCATAAATAGACGTATTTTGAAAGAATTTAAATCCTACAATTTTATCCAAATTTGCTTGAGTTTTCGCGTCTGTACAGGCCGATAGACTTAATACACACTTTTAAACACTGGTATTCATTAAAAATAATATTTGAAATAATATACACGTGTATATATATATATATATGTGTGTGTGTGTGTGCGTGTATGTATGTGTGCGTATGTGTGTGTGTGTATGTGTATAGCAACTGGTATATCTATCTATCTATCTATCTATCTATCTATCATAAACAGTCTTGTAACTGGCAGTTTCTCAATTTAAATGAATACCATATTATCTGCCAATCGCATAAAACGTGAAGCTTTCAATCGCCAAACAATGTCTATGTACCTAAACTGTTCATATTTACTCATATTCTAACACGACCATTCAACGTAATCTTTGCACACACACACATATATATATCTTGGCATATATATATATATATATATATATATATATATATATATATATATATATATATATATATATATATATATATATATACAGTGACACGCATAAGTATTGGATACATGTTATTTTCTGTTATAACTCTAGTTTATGTTCGCCATTTCGCCTGATATTTGGTAAGTAATATCTCGTAAAGGTGTTTTGGTTGTATGTGGAAGGAAAATTAAAAACTCATGGTTGAATCCATTTGTTTTTATCAAAGTTCAAAATTACCCTATGCAAAAGTATTGGATACATGACACTTTTTTCAAATTTCCAATCGAAACTTTGTATTTTAAAAGACTTTAAATATTCAAATTTTCGATAGTATTGGAAATTTATCTCTGACCAATCAGAGAAGCACACACTTGTTTACAAGATAGTGCTACTAATCAACTGACTCTTTGATGTGCATTCTGAAATTCAAGGATTAAAAATGGCAAAAACTAAAGAATTATCCAGATATGCGAGATAGAATCATTGAACGTCACAAAGGAGGACAAGGTTACCGAAGAATTAACAAAGAAATTAATCTAGCACTAAGTACAGTAGGAAATATCATCAGAAAGTGTAAGAAGTATGGCGACGGTACAGCAAACCTCCCAAGA